AAACCAATCAGTTCAAACGAATACCCCTTTTGTACTGACCAATCACCCCTATCCAACTTGTTCCCGCCAGTGAATGTGCTAATCATGTTTTAGAGTTGTTATTTGATTTTCTCTAGGTATGTGATGATTTGCTAAGAGATGCTATGACGTATGTGGGGGTCCCTGCCTTCTCCAAAGAATGTATAAAACTGCTGCAAACCCTGTGTTTGGGGCCTCTCAGCGTCACCAGTTGCTGTGTGTGCGTGGAGGACCGAGCTAGCTCACAATAAACACCTCTTTGCTGTTTACATGGATCTTGGTCTCTGGTGGTCTTTTGGGGGTCCTGATTTCAAGCATAACATTATACAAGACAGTAGAATCCATTTTGACAAAATTATACAAGCATTGGATATATCTTACTCTAATTAGGACCCCATTCTTGTGGGTAGGCACAATGTGGGATTGATTCACATAGGTAATTGTGTACTAGGAAAATATGTGACAACAGGAAAATTATGTTAGATTTATTCTGTGTCTTTTCTATTCCTATTCCCCTTACCTGTCTTTCATTTCCCTTTGTCTAATATACTGAATTTCTCTTGAAGGTCACTTTATTTCTTCTGCATTTAGGTTATAGCAGATTAGGTTCTCTATCTGATTCTCACTCAGTAGAAGAGTCAATGAGTACTACTGGGGAACCTGGATATAGCCCAGTGACACTCAAAGTCACCTGCTATTGTTGTCTTAAAATTTCACATAAATTTTGTGTGCTACTTTTAATATCAGTCGGCTTACCCATATGATTGAAAAAAATTAATACTCTGATGCAAGTTTGCCAGTGACTTGTCAAGCCCTGGAATAGAACCACCAAGTGTCTAGACCCATTCTCCCCAACCCAAATACTCTAGGTTCTTGTAAACTGGAACTACCAGCCTCTTATACTGGTCATTTTAGACAGGCTGTGCATTTCCTCTGCTGGCTGAGATGTCCACTTCCTAGTGCCGCAACAAAGTTAGTGATTGAATACGTATATTGTCAATGAATAAATGAATATTTTAGTATTTTTTAATTTATCAAAACCCTACCACCCATGTGATGGATACATCACCACTACCACAACAACCATAGCACCTTCTGCAATTTGGTGAACAGTCAGTGAGAACAAGCCTGCCTTTTGCTAGTATAGCAAGCATTTTATAATCTATAGCCAATGCCTTAACCTAATTATTTCCTCAAAAGAAAGAGTCTTCCTTTAAAAACTTAGAAATTAAATATGAATGATATCATTCTATAAATCAAAGTGATTTTTTGCGGGGGAGGGGACTTCTCCTGGATTTAGGCTAAACACACAAACAAAGCCTCAGTGAAGAAGCACACCATGGGGAGTCTGGGAGAGGTGGTCATTAGAAGGGTGACTTGTCATCCCGATTATCACAAATAGTCTATGAGCTTCATAAAAAGGGCTGCTGAACAAAATTCACCTCTCTGCCCTACGGTGCCATTTAGGACTTTATATCCCAGGAATTTACACTGTTTAAAAGGTATTCTTCAAATGAAAACATAAGCAAGCCAAACCATACCCAGCTGCCAACCCTGTTATTTAAGGATGGCCTCCCTCTGGCTGACTCCCCAGGCCAGGACACAAGAACTGCCTCTTTAACTGTACTTCCTTCAGCCCCTAAGGCCAGAAGCTCACCATGGGAGCAAAACCAAATCAACAGGCCTTCTGGAAGCTGCCAAGGACCACACATGTACTCTATCAGCCCTTCATAAGACAGACCAGGGATGAGAACATCTCTCAGCCTCCCTTCCTGTGAGTATAGAAACAGGGGGCCCCTCTATAGAAGGAACCTGGAGGCCCAATACCTGCCACTGTGAGGTTCCTGCACCGAGACCTACAATTCCCTGCATAGGTATAAATGTATCTGTTGTAAAGGGGTGACAAGGCTCACAGAGGCTGGAAGAACCACGAGACAGAACTTGGGGGAGATTTCTTCTATACTGTAAAAGAGAGAAAAGAAAAAAAAAAAACCTTCCCTTTCCTGCCCCAGACCCTTAGCTATGTGAATTAATGTGGATGTGACTAATTTACTACATGAAAACCTCACAGCCCAATACTAAACATCTGACAACTTTTACAAAGCTCCCTTTTGACTGAGGGCACTGTCTCTTTCAATATCTTCTCTTTGCTTGTACACCAATTAAAGTAATGGAACTGGTGTCCTCCCTCCAGCTGCTGTGTGGGGAGGGGAGACACCATTCATAAAGGTCTGTCAGGCCATTTTTCTTAAGAACAGCCCAGAGCCCCAGTGCTCACCTCCCAACTTTAAGAACATATGTGCACTTTTATTTGTTCATAAATTCAAAAGAAGCTCAGGAAAAAAAAAAAAAAGATTGTCATTTGCAGAATGGGATCATGAGCATGCAATTTCTAATATACTGTCACTTATGAGGATCTTTCATGTCAGGAACTCTACAGTTAAGGGCTGGTTGTGTTTAAAACTACTTGCGTAGCTGGTATAAAGGTAACCTCGTCTTTTACTAAAACACCTGTTTAAACAGAAGGAACAAACCATTCTGACAAAAAACAAGTAGATCTGTTTTAAGCAAAGGTTAAGAAGTGCCTCAATACCAGTGGGCCATTCAATACCCCCTCATAGCTCCTTGATATCGTCTTAATATGTGATCATCCAATCTAGGGTCAAAGTGTGCTCCATTATAAAAGTCATTCAAGAAATCTGCTGGCATCAATTCAAATCCTTGACCTCCAACCTCTAAAGCCCTGTCCCAAGGGAACGCTTCCTTCTATTAATCCTGAACCCCTACCATGCTTCACAGCCACAGCTATAGCCAATTGCAAGCCCCTGCCAACCCAGATATAAGCCTTCTCTGAAAGTATTTTTTCTCTGTATTCCTTCTTAAATCACTCATTCTGTCAGACCTCAGTTTCTGAAACAATAAAATTAGCTGGGGATGGGGGGTGGGGCAGACAGTAAGCTGGGGTTCTGAAAAGTTCAACTGCATCAGAATCACCTGGAGGACTTGTTAAGGCCCATGTGGAAGAGTCTCATCTTAAGGAGGGTTGGGTGGGGCCTGAGAAGTAAATCCTAATAAGTTCCCAGGTGATGCACATGCTCCTGGTCCAGGGTTTCCACACTTTGGAAACCACTTCATGAACTCATCTCTGAGGCATTATCTCACAATGCCATTTTCTTAAAAAAAAAGAAAGAAAGAAAAGAAATTAACCAGAAAATATAATAGTGTACAAACCATAATACATTCACTGGTAAAATTTCATGCATATTCAAAAATCATTTTGAAAACTATAATTAAATTATAAGGCCATGTGTACTTAAAACAATGACTACTCTGTAAAACAAAGAAATGCAGAAAATCTCTTACAACTCAACTATCTGGTATATAACCCCTGGGAGCCAGACCTGAGGAAAAGCCCCAAGATACCTGCTTCAAGGTAGGCACCTACCACAATAGCACAGTGTGATGTATTCAGTCCTACTGGTATAAACAACAGCTACAAGGAGAACACACACACACACAAAAAAAAAAAAAAAAACACTACTCCTGAGGTCACCCTGGTAACACTACAGTGGAAAACAGTATAACCTTGTCTAGTACAGGTAAAGACACAGTACTCTATAATCCAACAGTTCCAATCCTAGGTATATACTGAGAGTGGCAGTGATGTTCCTCCAGTTTTTGTTCACATGTCCTACAGAGTATATGTGAAAATTTATGTACCCTTTTGCCCAGTAAGTCATCACCTGGTGCAGGGGTACAGCCCAATGGTAGAGTGCTTGCCTAGCATGCTCAAGGTCTTGGGTTCCTTCCCTAGCATTAAGTAAAAACAAAATAATCACCTAGAGTATTCATTATTAATTAATTTATTAATTTGATAAAATAGTTGCAAAGGATTAACAAAATTCAGGTTATCATCCAAACACTGATATTTTAAAATGAATAAAATAATAAAGCTCTTGCATCACTTTTTAAAAGGTGTCCACGAGAATATAAAAACCCAAAGTATTGTAATGTTCACCATTATCCATTTTAATAATTCTTGAGCAAAGTGTTTCTAAGAGTTAAATATGTTATACCATTTCTTGTTCCATTTCTCCTACAAGTACTACTTCCATTCATTCTTCTACCAGATATGCAAATACGTTTTTATGCTTGAAAGTTTTCCATCATATTTATCTACAATATAATATTTATTAAAATTTCAAAATTTTCCTATGATTTTTTTAACATTTTTATCATGGATTGAGTTACCAGACATAGCAACAGTTATAGTAGCACAAGACTTCTTAACATAACTGTTATGTATTTTGATCAACATCAAACATAAAATATATAATTCTATTGGTAATAAAACTCTGAGTACTATGAATGAAGGAAGCTGTGCCAATATTTCATTTGTACTCTCTGTGTACAAGCAGCATTTCAGTTGTCCACAGGCATATCCACTGGCAAGTCTGTGCTATGAAGATGATGTGAAAATTAAGGATATGGAAATGAAGCCCTTAAACCTGAAATCCATGGATCATGCTTTCATTTGCAAAAGGTGACTGCCAATTGCATGTATACCTGCATAGATAAGGCTGTAAGTAGTCCCTAGAATGGTTCATTCAGGAGGCTGCTCTCCTGGCTAAGTAACTTCAGAACCAAGGATGCTGGGGTAATGGTCCAACCCTGGGGCCAAAGGTCATTTCCTTGGAGTTGTGTCTGGGACTCCTTCCCACCCCTTCTTTCTGAGCCCAACCTCTCACATGCTTCTTTAGGATTCACAGGAGCCTGGCTGGGCTAGTCATACCCTCAATCCAGGTGGACCAGTGGGGAAGTCTAGATGGACACCTAGACCTTCACTGATATCCATATGGCCCTCACCAGTATATGAGTTGGAAGAAAAGGGCAATAAATCAACATCCACTCTTCAGTTGTCCTTCTGGCATCCGTACATGGGAGGTCAGTGGCTCCTCCCACAGCACAAGCCTCTTACCTACCTTCCATTGACCACACTCTGCTTCTGCAGCCCACTGGGAAGAACTACAGTGATGGCCAGAGTACTGTTTCGCAGTGCCTCCTTCATGTGGATCAGATTCTGCTGTGAGCTGAGGGCTGCATCACAGGGAGGTCTTTGATCCCCATGAACATTCAGAGGAACAGGCTTTCCAGGAGGTGGGGGAGCACGAGCCTTCATCTTCCTCCTTAAAAAATGACAAGACAAAAGAACTGGATGAAGCAGAAGTTTTCATACTTGCTTCATAATAATTCATTGTCGTAAGTGTTCATGCCTCTCTCCAGAAATAACTTGCGAGTGGCATGATCTTTCTAAAGTCAGCATAGCAATAGCATTCCACATTTACAGAAGACACCATCAAGAAAATAAGCCAGTGAAAAGAAAAATAGAGGAAGCATTTTTGAAGAGTTCCTGGAAAGAAACACCTGAAAAATGTGGTTACCAGCTGGGAGCAGTACTGTACTATTTTCTACAGGATCCTAACAATGCAAAGGTAGAGCTGAGATTACTTGGCCCTTTCTGAGTTACAGGTGGGGTTCACATTACAATTTAAGTCAGTGGGCTCCCTTGATAGTCTGCAAGGGTTGTGCTCAACCTGCCCCAGAGCAGGAGCCAGGACCAGTTCTGAAGGTCTGGAATCCATGGGTCCATGATATTGAATATACTGGGATGATATCAAGCCATATTAAATCAACCTTGGTCTAGCACTCATTGACAAAGCCACTCTGAGTGGATGCAGCTGTTTGGCAGTAGGTGATAATGTCATAACATGCAATCCTTTCATCTTGATTTATATCAGATTTCAAACTGTGTTTTGAATGTTCACATCACTTTGTAGGAGATTCCTAAACCCTTGCCAATGAGTCACTTACTCCGATGAATATTTTTACAAATTCTTGTTTCCTCCAGATTAGTAAGGAAAGAAAACTGACCATTTTTTTTTTGTGTGTGTGTGTGTGTATATATACATATATATATGTATATATATTTTTTTATTTGATATGCAGAATACCTATAGTATATGTGTGCAGATATGTATAAATATATACATTTATGCATATACATTATATGTCTATATACCTACATATAAGCATATATATATATATATATATATGCTTATATAGCTGTATCAGAATAAATACACACACATACATGTAGTCATTTATACATAAGGACCCTATTTTACATAGATCCTGTATATTTTTTTATAATAATAGCTAGTATTTACTCCGCACTAAACATTCACTATGTCCTATGCTAATAAAAACCTTAGTTATTTACCTAATAACTACAATATTCAGTAGTTACATCATTCAGGTCTCAAAATATTTTGCAGCTCAGAAAATTCAGTCTGAGAGAAATCCATAGCTCACCCAAGGGCATACAATCATTGGGTGTCAGGCAGAGCTAGAAACCAGATCAGCTGACTCCCAAGGGCTTGCTCCTGCCCAATCCTCCCTACCCTGCCCCACAGGGAGGCAATATGAGCTCTCCATGCCCCATAAACTCTGCTGCAAGGTAACCTTCTTGGAGGTACTATGGCAGGAGGTATCAAAGATACAGGAATTCTATTTCCAGAAATTTATTCTGAAGAAATGACAGTATTGCAAGACCACACTGTGGGAGATTCAAAGACTCTCATTATGGCATAACTTCTAACAGCAAACAAGCAAATAAATACATAATCTAACTAAACATTCTTAAATAAATCACCAAACAAATAATATAATCATACACTTATAAAAGACAATGTCAATAAATAATGGTTTAACATTACACTGGCACTATTTAAATATATAATCTAATGAGCAAAAATGTTCAACAAAGATTTTTGGAAAAATGAGCTTCAAAACATTATTTGCTTATGAAAATTTCATTTTTCAAGAGAACAATAGATCACAAGACAGTTTTAAAAAAAGAATTCACTGACATCTAAGTAATGTAAGGCATGATATACATTTTGCTATTTTATTCTGTGCATTTTTAAATTTTTTAATTTTTTCTATAACACTGTCTGCATACTTACTGCTTTTAAAATGAAAGAGGTCATTAAAAATGGGGGGAACCAGGGGCTGGAGATATAGCTCAGTTGGTAGAGTGTTTGCCTTGCATGCACAAAGTCCTGGATTCAATCCCCAGCACCAAAAAAAAAAAGTAAAATGGGGGAATGGGCTGGGGTTGTGGCTCAGTGGTAGAGTGCTTGCCTAGCACCTGAAGGCACTGGGTTTGATCCTCAGCACCACATAAAAATAAATAAATAAATAAAAGGTATTTTGTTCATCTATAACTGAAAAAAAAATTAATGTTTAAAAAATTAAAAATTAAATTGTGGGGGGAAGAACAAATGGGATTCAGAAGAGGCTGTAAACTTACTGATATTCAGGTCACTAGTTTTAGCAAGACTTGGAATAATATATCTTATCCTCTACTATGATAATTAGGCATAAATTAATTCTTCTCTTTTTCTTGTTAAAAGCCCTGCACTTATAAAATTGTGCTGTATTTTATCTTGCTTCCTTTCATTTTATAGAAATAAAAATGAAATAGTCAACATTTTATACACTAAAGACTGAATATTTATTGATTCATGTATTCTTTTTTCTGTTTTCTGAGGAGGAATGACTATTACTTATATTTTATAGATAAGAAGTGTAGGTACACCATTTCCATGTTACAGACAGGCAGAGCTAATAACAACTACAGACAATTTGATTTCAGAGCCTGAAAATTTAACCACTACACTGTCCAGTTTCTATGAGGAAGGAGAGATGTCACCCACTTTAGAGATAGAAAAATCAAGACAGACAGACTCAAACAATCTTTCACTAATCAACATTAAGTCTAGGGTTACAAGTCTTGTCTATGATTTACCTGCTGAAAGTTGCCTTCAAGAAAAAAAGTGTTTATTTGACAATTTTTAGGAAATGAGTATATATTTCAACTTTGCTGGTTTGAACTCCTTCCAAACATGGAGTCCAACCAGAAGCAGCTAGTAATGCATTCTTTTATTCAGCCACCACTATGCAAGAGAGCATGGGGCTGAAGAGAGACAGAAGTTTTAATTGCCCCCTTTGTTTGCCCCAAATCTACACTCTGTCCCCAACTACCCAAAGTCACCTCAAGGTATCATTCCATCCACGCTTCTCTGCTGTGGTCCAAATTATCATTGCTAAGGGACACACAAATGCAGAGTTGTGTAAGAATGTTTTCTCTCTCTTCAATACAGCAACTTCTCAGTCAAGTCTACTGCTGACATGGACTCCTTCCTTCCTCAGTGTTTACTGCACATGAGGGCTGTCCATCTTCTCATGCATTCCCCTGCCCACAGCACACCCACTACCCACCTAGTAAGGCCCATGGACTAGGAAGGTGCAAATCTGCAAGCTGCAAGGACACCAGGGAGATTTGTTTGCCTAGCAGAGCGTTGTGTGTGTGCATACATGTTTATCATGCATGCACATACATTGTTGACAAACATTTTAAAATATGGAATATTTCAATATTTCAATCAATAATAAATATATGAAAACATGTTCATCATCTCTAGCAACTAGAGAAATGCAAATCAAAACTACTCTACGATATCATCTCACTCCAGTCAGAATGGCAGCTATTATGAAGACAAACAACAAGAAGTGTTGGTGACGATGTGGGGAAAAATTGGTGCAGCCAATATGGAAAGCAGTATGGAGATTCCTTGGAAATCTGGGAATGGAACCACCATTTGAGGGAGAAGGAAACTGCATAGACTGCAGCTATCCCTCTCCTCGGACTATACCCAAAGGAGTTAAAAACAGCATACTACAGGGACACAGCCACATCAATGTTTATAGTAGCACAATTCACAATAGCTAAACTGTGGAGCCAACCTAGATGCCCTTCAGTGGATGAATGGATATAAAAAATGTGGCATATATTCACAATGAAATTTTATTCAGCAATAAAAGAGAATAAAACCATGGCATTTACAGGTAAACAGATGGAGTTGGAGAAGATAATGCTAAGTGAAGTTAGCCAATCCCCCAAAAATAAATGCTGAATGTTTTTTCTGATATAAGGAGGCTGACTCATAGTGGTGTAAGGAGGGAGAGCATGGGAGAAACCGATGAATTCTAGATAGGGCAGAGGGGTGGGAGGGAAAGAGAGGGGGCAAGGGATTAGCAAGGATGGTGGAATGTGATAGACATCATTATCCAAAGTACATGTATGAATTGATGAATTGATGTGAACATACTTTATATACAAAGGTATAAAAAATTGTTCCATATGTGTAATAAGAATTGTGATGCATTCCACTGTCATGTATTTAAAAGAAATAAAACAAATTTTTAAAATATGGAATATTTAACACTCACAAAATAAATTGCTGGCTCCTTTTGGAAAAAACTGATAAGGCCCTAAACACCTTCACAGCAACAATCAGCTATGTGCTTTCTGCAAGCCTAATGGCTCAGCAACATAACACATCTGTCCCCTGTTGAGCTATAAATCGACATCCCAACCTCTAGAGTCTAGACATCTGCACTGACTCTGACTCTGAGCTTGGACCACTCTCCAGTCTCCTCCATTATTCTGGCATTGGGTCTCCAGTTCACTGCTCCTGGAAAACCCACCAGCAGCGCCACCTACCTGTGCCTTGTCATACTCCTTGCCTTCTATGTTTGCTCTTCTTGAATACTACATCTTCTGAGAGTTCCTCTCACCATGCTCCTCTCAGGCCTAGCTGAGATCAGTGCACTCACCTGGGGAGCTTAAAAATGCCCTAAATCCATCATGGACTGGTTATATCCAAATATCTGAGACTCAGTTTATGTTAATGGGTTGCAACATTTCTTTAAAATTGCATAAAATAAGAAGTTTCAAATGAGCAAGGATTTCAGAGGGAGAAGGAAACCGCAGGGATATAACATCCACCTAAAAAGGAAGCTTTGAGCAGTCTTAAAAGTTGCCAGCATTAAAACAGCATGATTGCAGCTATAATTTTTTTATTATTAAATGAAAGCAATTAATATATTGTACACGACCTACATTTAATAGATATATTAATGAATTTAAGAGTTTGTGTTTTTATTTCACAGAATGCCAATTTAGAGAACTACACATGAAAAATTTTTACTTCAAAACAATGTCTGAGTATATGTGCAGTAGCTCTACATCTGTGAGTGGAGAACTCCAGGTTGAGAAAAC